ACCAGGCCTCCTTTCTGTTACACAACCCCAGGAAACAGCCTGTAGCAGCTGTCTAACTCCCAGGTACCTATTTACTGCTAGGTGAACAGAGCATCAGGGTGAAAAACTCTGCCCGTGTGTTTCCACCACCACCGGGGATTGAACCTGGAACCTTAGGACTACGAATCCCGAGCGCTGTCCACTCAGCTGCCAGGGCCCCCTAAGTGCTATGTCCAATTAAATTTTTTAGCACTTTATTATACAAGGTTACACAGTTACATATGTGATTGGTTACAAAATGTGGACATTAAGAGGAAATAAAGGGAAGTTTGTTTCCTAGAGGCTGTAGATTTATTTGAACTCCTCTGACAGGCAGGAACTGAGGATGCAGCGGGTATTCCTCCTGAGGATCGCTACACTGAGACACTGGAGGAGAAAACTCACTTCTCTTGGGTCTCTTTGTAGTTTCAATAAGCCTGGAACCCAGATCCTTAAGAAATCTACTTGCACCCTCTCCCCATGGACCAACGGTCTCGGATCCTATTGGAACGAAGTTGTACTGGTGATAAATTTCCCTGTTCTTGGTTGACTTGTCTCTTTCTCTTTGTATGGCCGTGGTTCCTGCTTGGCCAACAGAGAGGTTCATGTATGTGGATGCCAAGGTGGATATGAAGGTACTCTCCCACAACAATTTGCCCTTTTTCCAAGGGCGCAGTGTGATTCCATCTCATCAGCCAGCAAAGCTAACAGAGTTACGGTTCAAAAGATTGCGGGGCTCACTCTCTGCTGGACACTGGGCAGAGGCAAGGCTCCTCTTAATGATGTCATGAACTTCGTCGTGTCGTGAGTGCCAACCGCCTGATTTCCACAGTACAGGTCATGCAATTCATATTCGTCTACATCTGCCTCGCTGCAAATACACCTATATACAGTGTGGACTGGAGCACCAAGGCAAAGAGCGACTTCAATACAGGGACTGCCAAAAGGAAGCGCCCTGCATGGGAAGCCTGCACAGCTATGAGGCGTGCACGAGCACTGGGGGTTGTTGCTGCCTCCAGCAAAGCTGTGGCTTCTTTGTCTACAATGGGGCTGTTCCAGCTAGATTGTTTCTTGGCTTTCAACATGATTGGTCTGAGTGCTGGGTCTACCATATTGCCCCACTCTGTGTTGCATTCCAAGTAGTGGGGGTGGGGGTCATGTATCCCCACTGAGTCACCCAGGTCATCAGGTAGAATTTCCTTGACCAGGTCATTTGATGCTGAGGAGGAAGACAGGAGGGCTGGGAGAGCAATTTGGGTGGCAGTGCAGACACCAATGCCGCCAAGCCTGACAGGAAGTGTGGTGTGTTTTCACCTGACAGTCATTAAGGGATAGGTCGACAACATTTTCTAGCATGGTCTTCAGTAGAAAGTCATACTATTCAAGCTTTGAGATGTTGTAAGATGAAGCACACCTCAGAAAGTAGGTTAGCTTCAAATGGGATGGGCATCTAGTGAGGTGATATAAAGTATCGTGAGTATCGATGCCACCTATCCTGTCTTCCATCCTCCTGAGGTCTGTGATTTTCTTATCAAGGTTCTCATCGATGGCATTAGACCCGAGGAAGGCTCCAAGGAGTGCGCTGTTTGCAGGCCTAATGACATGGACTCCAGGCAAGACGGATCTTATTCTAGCTGTGATGTCTGGGTTTGAGGAAACTACTTCACACTTGGAGGGGTTTAGGGAGAGGCAAGTTTACTTCTTGCTCCTTCATTTTGTTAATGTCTTCCTAGAGGGGGGTCTATGGGGCCAGCTACTGTGCCTTCGTCCAAAATCCAGATGTTGAACTCACTGGACGGGCTTTCGGTGATTTCATGCTAGACAAGATTTCAGTGGTAGATAGGTAGGTTAGGTAGATATAGGAAGACATAGATAGATATAGAACTTTGTACGCGAGGTGAAGGAGCGCCTCAAAAGTGTTGGCTTCTCGCAAAACAAAGTTTTGCTGCTTCTAGATAATGTAATAGTGCAATACATCCACAAAGTGACGAACTAATAAATGGCAATGACGTACGTTAAATGGCAACATAACAAACGTTCTTTGCAGGGGGAGGGTAACAAAATTTGTTTGGGCTTCCTGTACCCTAACTAAGAAACCATACACCACCCAATTTGCTCATTTTCCCATTCTCTCTCTCTCTCTCTCTCTCTCTCTGGAACATCCCAAATTTCCACAAGTGAATAGAAACCATGCAGATGGTACACACAGGAGAGAGGTTAATGAAAAGATCAACATTAGCCCATGGTTTAACACAACATACAAGGTGGCCAAGGAGAGAAATATAAATGCAAGGAAAATACAGGCAACAAAGTACATACACAAGCACACAAGGACACAATGAGAAGGGCCAGAAACAAGTGCACTAGCATCTGGAACAAAATATAGCAGTTCAAAAATTACACAACCATTAAAGTAAAAAAGAAGAGCAAGAAGACTTCAAAAGATTGCAGGTTTTCAAGAGGGAGCGAGAAAGGAAGAGGTTTAGGAGTGATGACAGAATGCTGGAAACTATTATGGCTGATCAGGCAGAAAGTGTTAAGTAAAAGAAACACCTGTGGAGCTAGCAGAGCCACAAGCCCAGACCAGATGATGCCACAGGCAAGTGAAAACACCAACACAGATACTATGTAACCCACTAACTACATGTTCAACTGCTTCATAAGCAAATGATCTCTTGGAGATATGGAAGAATGGAAATGTGTACTAGCATGCATGCCACAACATATTTGATAATCCCATCAGAAAATAGATGGTGAAACCTTTATCAAGGATAAAAAGTTTATAACCAAGAGACAGTACAGGTTTGGAAAGTACAACGCTCGTCTCACGAAGCTAACTAACTATGATACAATTGCCAAGATACAATATTTGAGAAGGATGGCTAGATTCCATCTTCCTAAATAGCTAAAAAAATAATCACCGATACCGTTCCCTATAAGAAGGGTGGGTTAACTGTTATAAGAATGGACTAGTGTGTGATAAACAGGAAACAGAGGGTCATAGTGAAAGAGTGTCAAAATATGGAGCAAAATGAGGAGTGAGGCTCTTGCATGGCTCCATACATGAAACCCTATTGTTCCTCATTACCTCCCACAAGAGGTAGTACCATACATGACAATACCTAATAACACTCCACAAATGGCCACACAAATACCTATGCAAGTTTAATCCAAACAAAAGCAAAGTAATGAGGTTTGGGAGAGAAGAAAAGCCTAAAATGGAAAACAATTCTGGCCATCAATATAATACCACTAAGATATTTGAAATTTTAGAATGGAAACCCAACCCTTAAAACATGCATGAAAAAGGTCAAGACTCACCTAGTGTCAGAATAACCAACATATTTTTTATCATTTTTCGTTCTTTTGCCATTTTAGTACTGCAGAATCTCATTAAAAAAAATTGTAAATGTTATTTTTTTGAGTAGATGGCCTGGTACTACCAACCATGGGGTGTATCAAAGCCCTCTCTCTGCTAGTGCACTCAAACTTCATTACTCAAATATTTTTATTAACACTATCGCACTCTGTTGCCTACGCTCCGTTGCACTCCATTGTCTCGGGTGACGAGGTCAGTAGTCACTCATTAAAAATATGTTAAAAATTACAATTCGATACCAAAATGAAAGACGTGAAGCGAAAATTGATGTCAGAACACAGGAAAGATATGAATATTTTTGTGGTGATGAGCGCCCAAGTGTCCAAAAGTTAAAATATTTGTTAAAATTCCATTTATTGTTCTATTATGGGACTAGTTTTAAAATACGCACCTTTATTTTGCGAATTTGATACCAAAATGAAACACGTAACACAAAAATTTATGTTATCAAACTGAATGAGTAAATACATTAGTCTGCTGGTGTGCCAATTGGTGCTCGTTCACGCGTAACTTGGCCGACTTTAGGCTTTGCTGTGGGGAGTCACGCCGGGCTTTTAGACCTTGTATGTATATACCCTTGTAGAGAATTCTACTGCGAACACAATGACACCAAAACGAACGACGTAACACAAGAAATAAGGTGAGAAAACTGAAACGAGTACTGTATACACATTTTACTGATTTTGCGCGCTCATGGGAAACTTGGCCAACTTTAGGCTATGCTGTGGGGAGTCACAGTGGGCTTTTGGACCTTATATGCATACATCCCTGTAGGGAATTCTATTGCAAACACAATGATACCAAAACGAACGACGTAGCACAGGAGAATTAAGGTGAGAAAACTGAAACGAGTATACACTGTTTGGTGACACTGCATGCTTGCCCACACTGATCGGCGCATGACGTCATTTCTGCGGTGCGCACGAATGGCACGTGATAGTGTTAAGTTTCTTTGGGTATTTCATTATTTATAAGCATAAAAGATGTCTAGCAGTACTAGAAGCCAAATTAAACTGCAAATGAGAAGTACGAGATACCTTAACATGGACAAAGACTTTACTATAGAAAAGTGAGCAAGGCTAGCAGTATGGAGTGTGATAGGAGTGTGAAATGAAGGAGTCTGGTGTTAGCACCCACACTGCTTCCCACACAAAACTACACAAGGGACTGTACTGGAGAAAGTTTTGAAAATTTCATTGATATGAGAGAACTTGGATGGCAAAATTTTTGTTAAAGACGCTCGCTCACATTTCTACGAGTTAGATCACACAATGTTTACCAGCTTAAGGTCAAGTACAAAAGTACAGGTCTTTGTACTAAATTCAAAATATGTTTAGATATTTTTTTTTGTGAAAACATAGAGCAAATATTTACTCTATCATTTATGGTCCAGTTCCATATTTTCAGGATTTTGAAGGTCCTTCATGCTGGAACCTCATGAAGTGAAGTATGTATCCACTATGTACAATTGCTCACTTATATATAATTAGGGAAACACACGCTCACTCTCACGCTTTTCATTCACTCGCTGTCACACACTCGGGTAAGAGGCAACAACAAGAATATAAAAGGAAGCAAAAGACAAAGCTAAGAAATAACTCACCATGACATGACTCGCAAGCCTTCCCAGAAACAGAGATGTCCGCACCATTCACCATAGATGGTGTCTTCCCATTGGAGAGCGCTGCTGGATTGGGCTTGTTGCTGTAATAATTCATCTCACATAATAAACAAGAACAATGAATTCTTATAAATGTTACTACAGTAGAGCACATATAGATCTATATATATAAGTCATCCATAGTCAAATCAGAGGGAACTTACCTAGAACCTTCTCAAATCTCTCCCATTGTTTTCAGAGGTAACCATATAGGAAAGTAGCGATCGCTGTCATTCAGCAGGTAGGCATAGTAATAATCCTTAATGGGCACACTTTGATCTTAACAAATGACCCCTCAGTTTGCACAAATATTCTGAATACAATCTGCATGAGCAGCCCATCAGGAATAATCCATGAAAGTGCAGCCACGCCGCCTTCCTTAATATTCTCTCTTATGACGGTGCATTACTCCCTCCCTGTCTTAGTTCCTTTACACTCCTCCTTCCTTAACCCTTAAATGGCATAATTCATACATTTTATTATTTTCATAGGGGCAGCCATAGGTGGTGGTGTTGTGGTAGTGTGGCACTGTGCTTGTGGTAGCATCTACCATCAAGATGGTTGTGGGGGCTAACTTCCTAGTACTTAGCATCTACCTGTCATCTGTGGCAAGTGGGTTCACAAGTTTATGCTCTGCCTCTTACTTTTTGTAAATCTCCATACTGTTATAGCTTTTAGTATTCTTCAGCATTCACATTCCCAATTAACTGTGCATATATACAGCAACAAGTTTACTCCCATATACAGCAACAGGCTAAAGACAAAACCACAGAAAGCCTCCCTTGCCACATCTCTCCATTGTGTGATACCATCTATCGTCTGTGTGCAGACCACTCGGTACTTTGCCGGTCTTCCCAGCTTTCCTCTCCACTCTATATATTTACCATTCATGACTAACAATGACAAATGCTTTCATACAGAGTACCCAGCCTTCTTCATCCGGCCATATTTTTGTGACTACGTTGCAGGATCATCGATTCTCTCACACATCATCATCTAATTCTTAACATGAGTTGGCACTATTCCAATCTTTGACCTTTCCAGCTGCTACATCATTCCAATCCCAATGCCTGTCTCCAGTAATTTGAAGGCATTAATGTTAGTGACACTGGCCAATAGTTTAGTGTTAATAGTGGGGTTTTAGCCAACCACTTTTATTTTCCACATTAACAACTATCCAGTTTCTAACGTTGTGTTGTAAATCTAAATTAGTCGATAACCTAGTGTCTTTAAAGCCCCCTTTCAGCAGCTGTGATGATACCAGGACTGGCCCTACTGTCTTTGTTGTGTCTAGTGCCTACATTTGTGTTGTTCCCTCCTCTTGTGTGAACAAAGTTGTCTACTGTCACTTGTGGCCACCCTCACTCCCAACACTCATCATGTGTTACACACCCTGGAGAGCCTCTCGTGTTGTTCCCTCCTCTTGTGTGAACAAAGTTGTCTACTGTCACTTGTGGCCACCCTCACTCCCAACACTCATCATGTGTTACACACCCTGGAGAGCCTCTCATGTTGTTCCCTCCTCTTGTGTGAACAAAGTTGTCTACTGTCACTTGTGGCCACCCTCACTCCCAACACTCATCATGTGTTACACACCCTGGAGAGCCTCTCATAACAGTTCCTCCCACAAAACATAGCTGCCACCATCACAACAAAGTCTAGGCTATCCTTTGTAGTCCACACTCCTGGCACAGTTCCCTTGCTTCCTGAATATCTCTATAAATCTGGCTGCAGCTCCATTTATTTTGGTTTATACATATATCATTATTTCTCACCCGATGTGTATTAAATCAGTTTTGGCGTCTACCACACCAAATAAAGATAAAACTACATCTGGTATCAGGCCCCTGCAAAAGGAAGATGGAACTTTCACAAATGACAACAAAGAAATGAACGAAATACTGAGGAATCAATATGACTGTCTTCAGCGAGCCACTGAACACACTAAAGATTGATAACCCAAAGGAATTTTTCATGGATGTGATACCAACATCAAATCATATATCAGATGTCACCCTGTCCCCACTGGATTTTGAAGAAGCCATAAACAGTGTGCCTATGCACTCTGCACCAGGCCCGGATTCTTGGAACTCCATATTCATCAAGAACTGTAAAAAAACCACTGTTGCAGGCCCTTCACATTCTATGGAGACAAAGCCTAGATACTGGCATTATCCCTGACATACTAAAAACAGCAGATAGCACAACTCCATAAAGGAGGAAATAAGGCCAAGGCAAGATATTACAGACCAATAGCACTAACATCGCACATCAAAAATCTTTGAGTGCTAAGAAGTAAGATCACAAAATACATGGAATCACAGCATCTCCAAAACCACGGACAACATGGTTTCGGAACAGGGCGCTCTTGCCTGTCACAGTTGCTATGGGTGTTTCACTAGCAGTGACAAAGAGAATACTTAAACAAATATCTAATGAAGATCTCACTGACCTAACAAATTCACAAAGACCTGAAAGTTGTAGCATTAAATATTATGATAGATATCGTGAGGAGACATTCACATATGGGACTAATAGAACAAGAACCCGGCAATGTGATGTTATAGTGGCCAGAATACACCTGGGATATAGACGTACCTGACAGCTCTCTCAAAACTCAAATGTCGAGTACACAATATGTCAACTTTGTGAAAGAGAAAACATGCACTCACTTGAACATTATATTGTAGAATGTCCCATATTGACTGACATTCGCCCTCCTGGGCTGAGATATGCTGAACTCTGTAACTACTATACGAGTACTGGAACACTTGACGATATATTAGACTTGTACCCTAGATTAACCATGTGATATAACTATATAACCTGAGCTTGTAAAAGCATCTTAATCACCTTCAGTGGTTAAGTTCTTAATTAACTGCACACTAGTTTCTCTGTCAGTTATCTCACCCTGTCAGAGTAAAAGAGATAAATACAGTATATGTGTGTATGTATGTGTATAAAGTGTATGTGGAAGCTGATCAGAATTACATTTCACCATTATAAATTCACATTAATGCATTCATAAATCTGTGAATCTATGTATTTACATATGTAGCTGAGCCTAACATTTTAAAAGCACTACGATCACCTTCTGTGGTTGTTCAATAAATCTCTGAACTGTATATTTGACAAATCTTTCACCCTGTCCATTGAGGACAGAAGAAAATGTATATATGCTGGTTAGCATTGTAAATGTGTGGCCACATCTGTGGTAGAAAATAAAATAATAATAATAATAATAAAACAGCTGTTGGACCACTATGACATGGCATTAGATGCCATGGAAGACGAACAAAACACTGATGTAATTTACGCAGGTTTCACAAAAGCCTTTGACAAATGTGACCATGGTGTTATTGCTCATAAAATGAGTTCAAAAGGAATTACCGGAAAAATAGGCAGATGGATGTACAATTTCCTGACTAACAGAACCCAATGTGTAATAGTCAACAAAATAAAACCTAGTCCATCAACCAAGAAGAGCTCAGTCCCCCAGGGTACTGTGCTTGTTCCAGTACGGTCCCCCAGGGTACTGTGCTTGCTCCAGTACAGTCCTCCAGGGTACTGTGCTTGCTCCAGTACAGTCCCCCAGGGTACTGTGCTTGCTCCGGTACAGTCCCCCAGGGTACTGTGCTTGCTCCAGTACAGTCCCCAGGGTGCTGTGCTTGCTCCAGTACAGTCCCCCAGGGTACTGTGCTTGCTCCAGTACAGTCCCCCAGGGTACTATGCTTGCTCCAGTACAGTCCCCAGGGTACTGTGCTTGCTCCAGTACAGTCCCCCAGGGTACTATGCTTGATCCAGTACCTTTTCTCATCATAGCAGACATAGACAAGGACACAATCTATAGTACTGAATATGAAATGGCAAACCTCCAATCAGATGTAAATCAGATCTTTCCATGGGCTACAGAAAATAATATTGCATTTAACGAAGTTCCAGCTCTTGCGCTATGGAAAAAATGAAAATATAAAAACTGAAACCACATAAAATGCAGTCAAATCATAACACTGAATAAAAACGCAATGTAAAGGATATGGGTGTAATTCTTTCGGAAGACCTTACCTTTAAAGAACGCAAAGTAGCCACCACAACTGCAAGAAAAATGACAGGTTGGATAACAAGAACCTTTCACACTAGAGATGCTATACCGATGATGATACTCTTCAAGACGCTAGAGCTTTCTAAAGTGTAATACTGTTGCACAATGACAGCCTGCCTGCTTGATACCTGCTTGATGGGGTTCTGGGAGTTGTTCTACTCCCCAAGCCCGGCCCGAGGCCAGGCTTGACTTGTGAGAGTTTGGTCCACCAGGCTGTTGCTTGGAGTGGCCCGCAGGCCCACATATCCACCACAGCCCGGTTGGTCCGGAACTCCTTGGAGAAAACTATCTAGTTTTCTCTTGAAGATGTCCACAGTTGTTCCGGCAATATTTCTGATGCTCGCTGGGAGGACGTTGAACAGCCGAGGACCTCTGATGTTCATACAGTGTTCTCTGATTGTGCCTATGGCACCTCTGCTCTTCACTGGTTCAATTCTGTATTTTCTTCCATATCGTTCACTCCAGTACGTTGTTATTTTACTGTGTAGATTTGGGACCTGACCCTCCAATATCTTCCAGGTGTATATTATTTGATATCTCTCCCGACTCCTTACTAGTGAGTACTAGTGAGGCTATGGCTCCCTACACTTGCACCAGAGGTGGTACCCCTTTTGGGTTTTAAATAAAATAAAATAATATATAATATATATATATATATATATATATATATATATATATATATATATATATATATATATATATATATATATATATATATATATATATATATATATATATATATACCACACACACACACACATATATATATATATATATATATATATATATATATATATATATATATATATATATATATATATATATATATATATATATATGTGTGTGTGTGTGTGTGTGTGGTGGCTATATATATATATATATATATATATATATATATATATATATATATATATATATATATATATATATATATATATGCGA